AATCTGACCTTTCTTATTTGTCATTTTTCTCCACGTTCCGGGCTCTATCTCGGCCAAGAAGGGCAACGACTTCTTGAACCAGACGGGGTCTCAGTAACAAATCTTGGTCTCCTCCCGTTTTCATCTACCTCGTGGGTTTAAAACGACTCCCGGCAACGTTTGACAGATAAGAATTATACCGTGCCCTGGTACACAGGCATAAATAAACTGTTGCAGATGGAGAAATAATTGCAAGCCTCATGTATGCATTTATCTTTGTATGAAGCCTAGTGACTCTGTACTATGTCAGAAAGATAATAAAAAAAGCACAGAGAGCCTGAATTATGAGCATCTAAGCTTATCTATTGAAAATAACTCAGTTATTGAAAATAACACTTCTTGTGGTACCAGCAGGGTATGCTGGCTCTGTGGACCAAAGGCAGGATTTCAACTGCAAAACAGTTTTTTTGCATTACTAGGTGGCTTTTTCCTGACATGAAACCTATGGTGTATATTTGATAATTTGGTTACAAGTAGAAGATATGAAGTTGAGCTTATACACCTCTTATTCATTTTCCCTATCAAAACAGTCATAACATTTAACTTTGGATTTCAAAATCAAATTTGTCCAACGCTGCTATGCCTTTCCACAAACACTTTTCTTTTTAAATATATGGGCACCTGATTATCACAGATGCCTAAGGGACAGTGGCTACAGGCATGCTTAAGTTCAAGGTAAAGAAAAGTAGGAGTAACTGAGTAATTTGCTATTATTTAGTTCTGGTTTTTAATAATATATTTCCTCTTTGCTCACAGTTGAATATTTGATCCCTGCAGGAAAATATCCTAAATCGTGACATGAGAGAGAGGAAAGGAGTTGTTCTGAAAATGCCAATAATATGTTTATGTTAGAAATTTCTTATGATTTGATCTCACTACCAGGTGCCATTGTTACTAATCTCATAATCATGAATCCTCATGCAAGCATCTGAATTCTAACAAAAGTTTTAGCCACTCAAGATGATCATTTTTTTTTATTATAGGACATAGAAAAGAAAAAAAGCAAAACTTGAGCAAAAATTTTGTACCTTTCTCACAAGTCTTATAACTGCTATTATTTAGTTCTGGTTTTTAATTATATGTTCCCTTCGAATTGTGATGCTAGCTGACTTCAATATTGTTGAAATCCATTGCTTATGTAAGGTGTACAGTTAGAACTCTGCATCAGTACCTTTAACCATGGGTCTAGGAACCCTATAGAGAGCAGATTTGCCAATGGCTCCTTATTTCTTGAAGGTAGAATTATTGCAGGCATTAATAAGTGATCTTCCTGGATCTTTTTTTTTTTTTTTTTAACAATTCCCCATAATAATTCTTAAAATACCAGCATTAACATCGATTAGGCCTCATTACCATTGAAAGAACATTTGAACCATTGTTTCAGATAATGACTATCAAAGAACAACTGAATAGCTTCTAACCAATGTAAATAAAATAAAATAAAATAAAACCTACATTCAAGATTTTTTAGCTTCCATAGATTTCCTCTACTATCTCCAGTTATTCAACATTGTGACTTCAGAGATTGGCATTGGTTGGGCTTTTTAAAAGATATAAAAACACAGTAAACAAAAATGTCTCCAGGAACAAGCTAGGCCAAGGTTGAGCACAGCCGCTCAACCCAGCCATGTGCCACCATATTGGAAAACTCTTCCAATGGGACAGATTCTCAGATCATTTTTACACAAAGCTAGAATGTCAATTTTTTTTTTTTCATGTGAACTCTCCTGTGTTTTTTGAATCCTGGCAAATCATTTAAAAATATTTACTCATGTAGAGTGTGCAACATCATTGCTCTGACCAAAAAAAAAAAAAAACAAAAAAACAAAGAAAGACAAATTGCTACATTGCTGTCCATGGCTAGCCAATTAGAAAACTCCTTTTAAAAATGACTTTCTACTCTTCATTTCTCTTAGCTAGAACTCTACCTGTTTTAATATTCCTGGCCTAACCTTTCTCTACTTGAAATTCAGTTTTCCTTCTGACTCAAGTCAGGTTTATCGAAGTGTAATATGCATGAAGCAAAACTCGCCCTTTTAAAGTATATAGTTTGAAGAGTTTTAGCAAAAGTGTATAGTTGTGTAACCACCACTATGATTAAAATAATAAGCTTTTTCCTCACCCCAAAATATTCCATGGTGCCTCTTTGTAGAGATTTGCTCAGTCTTTGGCAAATGTGACTATTATGTTAATCACCAGAGTTTTGCCTTTTCCAAAACGTTGCTCCGTGTGTTAATAGCTTCCTTGTTTTCCTTGTTGACTAATATCTCATTGCACAGGTATACAATAATCTATTAAGCTATTTACTCGTGATGGACATTTATTATTTTTCACAAATGTTGGCTATTATCAATAAAGTTGCTATAAACATCCATGTACTTGTTATCTTCTCAACATATATTTTCATTTCTCCTGGGCAAATACCCAGCAGGGAAATTGTTGGTCACAGTCAAGTGTATGTCTCACTTTTTCAGAACCTGTCAACCTTTCTTCCAAAGTGATTGTGCCATTCTGCTCTCCCACCAGCCACTCATCATGTATTGGTGTCCCACTGAAGTTTTAATTTGAATTTCCCTAAGGACAAATGATATCGAGATCTTTTCATGGATTCATCTACAGTCCATGTGCTTATATTTTGGACAGTATTCAATCAAATATTTTCCTACACTGAGTTCTCTGTCTTCTTCTGGAGCTCAAGAGTTCTCTATATATTCTGGATACAAGTCCTTGATCAAGTATGCTGTTTTAGTCAGCTTTTTCACCGCTGTGACTAAAAGATTCAACCAGAACAATTTAAGAGGACAAAAGGATTATTTGGGGGCTCATGGTTTCAGAGGTCTCCATCCACAGAAGTCTGGCTCCATTCCTTGGGGCTCCAGGTGAGGAAGGACATCATGGCCGAAGAGTGTGGCAGACGGAAGCAGCTCACATGATGATCAGAAAGCAGAGAGAGACTCCACTCTCCAGAGACTTCACTCTCCCCTAAGCCACACCCCCAACGAACCACCTCCTCCAGCCACATCCCACCCCCAGTTACCACTCAGTTAATCCCATTAGGGATCAATTCACTGATTGGGTTAAGGCTATAATGCAGTCATTCCTCCTCCAAACCTTCTCACACGTTGTCTCACACGTGAGCTTTTGGGGGACACCACATATAAACCATAACATAATGTGTTTCACAAACATTTCTTCCAGTCCGTGCCATGTCTTTTCATTTGGAAGAATAGGGCAATGTTTTAAGAGGACATGTTTTATATATTCTTCTTTATCAAGTCTTTAAGTCTTCTCCAAAATATAGTTTTCCTAGGTAAAGTTACAAAGATCTCTTTCTCCTCCTATTTTGTTCTCGGAAAAGCTTCTCTATTACATTTATAATCCAAATTGAGCTTTTGAAAAATACAGTTTGAGGTCAAGGTCAACGTCTACTGACTTTGGAGATATTGAAATGCCCACGATGTAAGCATGGCAGGCAGACGTAAGAGTACCCTGGGTGAAGACCCTGGCCAGTCAGAGGAAGCTGCTCTTTGGTGCCATAGCCATCTACAGCTGCCCTATTCTTCCCTACAAATTACTTGTGGTCATTTTCTCTAATGGCATGTTGAGCATCATCTTCTCTTGATTCTTCAATATTATGCTGCTGATTTAGAAAACTGGACAATTATCAATTTTACTTTCAAGCTGTGGGGCAGCACTGCAGACCTGTCCCACATGGTTATTGAACAGCTACAGAATCCTGAGCAAAATGCTCTTTGCCTTTTCTCTAAATGGGGGTTGCTACAGTTTGAAACTTAAATGAGCCCCAAGGTGTATGTATTAAAGGCATGGTCCGGGGTCTTAAAGTGGTAGAAATTTGGAGAAGTAGAAGCTAGTAGAAAGCACTTAGGTCCATTTGGGGTGTACCTTGAAGGGTAGGCTGGAGTCAGCACTCTGGTGCACACCTATAATTCCAGGGATTCAGGAGGCTGAGGAAGGAGGATGGCAAACTGAAAGCCAGCCTCAGCAATAGTGAGGCTCTGAGTAACTCAGTGAGATCCTGTCTCTAAATAAAATAAAAAATTGGGCTGGGGATGTGGCTCAGATATTAAGTGTCCCAAGTTCAATCCCCAGTACACCCTCCCCCCCAAATAAAGAAATAAATAAAAATAAAAGGGCATGCTGGAACCCTGGTGCCTCTGTCCATGAGATGAGTCGATTTGCTCTACCATGAACTCTTGCCATGATGTGCAGTCATAGACCCCAAGGAATGGGATCAATTGATCATGGACTAGATGTTCCAAAACTGGGAGCTAAAATAACTCTTTTATCATTATAAGTTGATTAGCCCAGGCATTGGTCATGGTAACAGAAAGATGAGTTACAGAGAGGTTAATAAATAAGTGAATTTTCTACTCTTTGGTTTTGCAAAATTTTGGGGGTACAACGTGAAGCCTTTAATGTAAATATCATTTGAGGAGGCAATGTTACCGAAAGAACTGCACCGTGATTTTTTTTTTTCTTCTGAACATTTTAAATATCACAGAACTCAGCCAAACAGACCACAATACACACTGCAATTCAGACTCCCTGGAGTTTGGTACATGGTTCTTGGCATCAAGGACTTTCCCCCACCCCCTTGTTTATTTCTCACCAGTCAATACCCCAAGCTACTCCAGTAAGAATTTCCTCACTCATTCCGACTTAATCTTAGAGAAGTCGTTGCTGTGTCTTTCTAACTTCTCTGCCCCCAGAATACCTGCTTTGTTTCTTCTGCACAGCTGTGACTAGCAAGGGAGAGAGGCGGCAAAGCAAGGAGATGTCATTCAGAAAAGCAAAAGCCTCCAGATGAAGATGTTTTATTTTCTTTCTCTATGAGGATAAAACTTTCTACTTGGCTAGAGCATTTCTGCTTTGCTTTCCCACAAGACAAAGCACTTTCTTTTCTCTATAGCTTGGCTTTTCCACTTTGGACACAGCCTTACCTTGATTTGTGTTTCTTCACCACACCCTCTTGACACTGAGCCATCTTCCACTCTTGATCACTGTTTTTGGCCAGAGATGGACAAAAGGCTTGACTAAGATGGGTGCAAGGGAGACGAAGAAGTCAGGAAGCCAATTCTGGTAACCAAGGTTTCCCTGGAAGAGGAAGAGAAAAATTCAATGGTAGAAATGAGGAATTTTCACACTGGGCATAAGAGGTGGATGACTTATTGCATTCAGGTGCGTAAGAAACTAAACACACGAGTGATATACATGAGACAGATATGCACAAAATTCTCCATCCAAACAGCCTTTGTCAAGGTCACCTTTGACTTGCATACTGCTTGTATTAATCAGGGTTCTCTAGAAGAACAGAATCAACAGGAGGTATGATTATAAAAGGGGACTTATTAGGTTGGCTTAGGTGACCAGAAGCTGGAGAGTCCCCAGTGGCCATCTGCAGGCTGCAGAGCTGGAGGAACCAGCAGCTGCGCAGTCCAAGAGGCTGAAGCCCCAGAACAAGAGGGGTCAGTGGTGCTACCCTAGTCTAAGAGCAAAGGCTTCTGGAGGATCACTGGCAGAGTCCACTTTGGAAAAGTGAAGGAGCAAGAGTCTTATATGCTCAGGTGATCTCAGCAGCCATCAAGAAGAACTCATTCAAGAAGAATCAAACTTGCATCTGCGGCTGCTTCCTTGTTCCTCCAAATTTTATTCCATGGAAGCCTCTAATCTATTGGATGGTCTGCTCATGCTTTAGGGAGGGTCTCCATTCCAGCTGGCCATCCCACCTGCCAGTCATTCCTAGACACACCCTCACGGACCCACCCAGAAGCCCCTTACCCTTCCACATCTCTTAACCCTGTCAAGTTGACAATTCGGATTAACCAGTACATGGCTAAACCTGATGGTTCAATCTCAGCCCACATTCACTCTACCTCTGAGCAGAAGTGCTATGGAGGGTCATCCTTCTTCCTCAAGAGACCTTCATCTGTCTCTCGGGACACCACTTTCCTCTGTTCCCTACTTCTCCTCCATCTTCTGTTTCTCAGTCTGCTCTGCTCATGGCCCCTTAACTCCCCAACCTCAGGACCTGGACAGCTCTCCTTCCTTATCAATATCCATGTCCTAGGGGGTTGTATTCTGCGTCCTCAGTCTACATATTACTATGGGAGGCAGAATAAGAATGCAGTCCCTGAGATGTCTACATCCTGTTCCCAGGAACCCGAGAATGGGTTCCCTTGTATGGCAAGAGGAAATTAAGTTTGTAGATGAAATTAAGGTTGCTAATTATCCAAACTTAAATTGGAGAGATTAGCTGGGACCCCCTCCAGGCAGGTCCAGTGTTAGTATTAATACTAATATTAAGAAGTAAAGTCTTTAGGGATGGGATTAGTGCCTTTATAAAAGAGCCTTGAGGAAGTTTGTTGACCCCTTCTACCATGTAAAGTCCCAGCAGTGAGACACCATGACCTGGGAGACAGAACCTTCCCCAGGTATCAAATCTGCTGATGCCTCTACTTTGGACTTCCCAGCCACGGGGACTGTGAGGGATCAATTTCTTTCTGTCCTAAAGCTGCCCAGCCTAGGGTATTTTATTACAGCAGCTAGCATATAGGCAATAACACGTCAAAATCTGGCACATCTGTTAAGGGCATGATGCTTTGCAATTATTGAGAATCCTTGAATAATATTCTTTTGTTTAGATGAAGTACCTCCAAACGGATGTAAAAAAAAAAATCAATAACTTTGGTACTTCACATTGAATTGAGATGATCTGGATCGATAGCCTCTCCAAATCTCCTTTGCTTATAGGCTTGCTATCTCTTAGGCCACCGCTAAAACTTGATCCTTTTAAAATGAATGATTTTTTTTTTTCTTCCCCTGACTGGTCATCAGAATCACTTCTGGCTCTAAAAAAAACCAGAATCCTCTCTAGCTTCCTGAGTCAGCAAACTCCCAAGAGTTGAGGCTGGGGCATTTCTACCACAAACAAACTTAGCCATCTCTCTCTAAGTTCATTTAGATGCAAAGCTGTTTGGGAAATCAATGGCTTAGAAGTCCAAGCCGTGTTAAAATATGAATATCCCTGGAATACACGAGTCCCACTCAGGATGGAGATAAAAATTGTGCTTCCTTCCTTCCTCAGTCTTCTGTGAAGATCCAACTAAATGAGGTTACACATTGCTAGTTTACAATTTTGTCTTAACAATGTTTCCAAAAACATGGGAGGGAAAAGTAACAGTGTCTTTTTTATGACAAAGCTTAAAATAGAACCCGAGCATATGCACAATAACTAGTTCTCTCACCCAGAGGTGTCAGCTGTACTTTCCAGTGTCACAATGACACAGCCATGAAATATTAAGACTTGCCCAGGACTGGAAGTTGCTCACAGGGACAGAGGTAAAGCCTTGTATTCTCAAGCTAAGCAGAAAGAAAACGGTTAACGGGAGGCAGCTCTGTTATTTCTAGTAGCACTAGGTAACAAGAAATTCCTTTGTTTTAAACACAAAAATTACGTTGTGGCCATAGTGTCCCTGCAGGGGATGGAGACACAGGGACAAAGCCGAGCTTTCAACTCAACCCTCACCGTGATGTGTGGACCTTCTAAAAGAAGATGTCTCGGGGCTGGGGATGTGGCTCAAGCGGTAGCGCGCTCACCTGGCATGCGTGCGGCCCGGGTTCGATCCTCAGCACCACATACAAACAGAGATGTTGTGTCCGCTGAAAACTAAAAAATAAATATTAAAAATTCTCTCAAAAAAAAAAAAGAAGATGTCTCATCTCTGAGGCATGTGGGGTGCCAGAGTCGGTCCCCTCTTCCTTTCTTTCTGACTAGAGATGGATGCAGCAGAGCTGATTGCAAAGTCGGAAGGATGGACTGCCAGAGATGGCCGTCTGGATGCTGTTAAAAGGAGGGAGCTGATTTCCGGGGTTCTGATGTGGTCACATCATCTGTAAATTACAGCGCTCAGCTGTTTTTTCCATGAAGCCATTATTCTGCCATTGGCTTAGCTGCCAGTGACTCTTCACCAGGCGTAAAGACTCCGGAGCAGCTGTCTCAGGAGCGAGCCAGATCAGGGAGAGGAGATGCATGGAGAAACAAAGGGTGCCCGATTGGATTAATTTGTGCTTAACATTTTTACATTACCTTCTAATCACCATGCGATGAATCTGACCCTTGAAACAAATCCTGCTCTTGCCACTGGTTTCAATTTGAACGTGTCTTGAATCTTGACCATTCAACACTCCAGGACCTGACAAAAGACCCATGGTGATGAGAACCTTTGGTGTCTTCCTTGGTGTTAATTACTTCTATTTCAGTCATCTTTCCTAATCATGGGTCTGGAGGCTTTAGAGAGTTGTGGGAAGGAGTCCCTTTATATGTTTTAAAAATGCTTTCCAGGTGTGCATTCTGGAAGCTTTTAAATAACCTTTGAAAAGAATAAGTGAGGTAACCCCTGCAGGAACCACATGAATCTCTGATAAAGCATTAGAAAACAGGGAATGGACCCCCCATTTGACCTAGCTATCCCACTCCTTGGCTTATACCCAAAGGATTTAAAATCAGCCTTCTACAGTGATACAGCCACATCAATGTTTATAGCAGCTCAAATCACAATAGCTAGACCATGGAACCAACCTAGGTGTCCCTCAATAGATGAATGCATAAGGAAAATGGAATATTACTCAGCTTTAAAGGAGAGTGAAATTATGGCATTCGCCACAAAATGGATGGAGTTGGAGAATATCATGCTAAGTGAAATAAGCTGATCCCCCCAAAACCTAAGGCTGAATGTTTTCCTCCAATATGTGGATGCTAATTCACAATAAAGTAGGGGGCACTAGGGAAGAATAGTGTTACCTTAGATTAGGTAGAGGGAATTGATGGGAGGGAAGGGGAGTGGATGTGGGGATAGGAAAGATAGTAGAATGAAACAGACATTATTATTACTGTATGTATCTATGTGACTGCATGACTAATATGATTCTGCAACACGTACACTCAGAAAAATGAGAAATTATAACCCATTTTTGTATGATACATCAAAGTGCATAAATGCATTCTACTATCCTGGATAACTAATTAAAACAAATTTAAAAATTTAAAAAAAAGAGCATGCTGTTAGTGTACATTGGGTTTCCAATCAATGAACATCTATTTTTGTAGTTTTTATGTTTAAATTAATACCAGTACTCATGATAATGATAGGCAGACCCTTGTCTCCATACTACCGGAATCCTTGACAAGAGCTTCTTAACTTTTGACAAAATGATTTTGAAACCATCAGCTTACTACAAAAGAGCTGAAGAAAATGATCATTTTTACCCACTTGTATTAAGAACCAGACAGCCTAGTTTTCCACAAACCACACACAGCAGCACACTTAGTGTGAATAGGCTTCCTCCTCCTTAAATGCAATAGGAGTCCTCACAGAGGCTAGAATCTACCTTTTTTTATTTCCAAAAGCATCATGAAAAGATGAGTCATGATACCTTTGAAAGTGCCACTTCAAAAACACCTTTTAGGAATGACAGTAACATTTGTGAAAATTGCAGTAATGATATGACACAAAAATGCCTTATTTCACAGCCTGAGTGGAAAGATGACCTGGAATGTCTCTCTTAAATAGAGCCTTCCTCGTGGGCTCCACCCTAGGGCTCTGCCTCACAATAAACACACCCATTGAATCAAAAAAATCTGGACTGCTAAGGGGGGTGTTTGAGACATGGAATGTGCTCAAGACATCGTCTATCTTCTATGGGTCTGTCATACATTCAGGGCTAAAATGTGACAATAGACATGAAACTCACTCAAAAAATTCTTTTCAGCAACTTCCAACAGTAAGTTGGCTAGATATTTCCACTTCCATAGTTGTCAAGAGGAGAAACCGGCTTACGTTGGACTCAATGGCACATTATATTAATGCAGCACGATACACTGTATCAGCACGAATCATGAAATCTTGAGTATATCATAGTGAATGCTAAGTCCTACTGTCATGTGACCGCTGTGACAAGATTTGGTAGATGAGAGAATAGCCAGTCACCAAGGCATAAGACAGACTTAAGAGGCCATTCTTACCTAACTTTGATAGGGTAATCGAATAAAAATTCAAATTTAAAAGAGAATAAAATCATGGCATTTGC